CACACTGCAGCTACACCTAGTGTACTGTGTGTTTTCTGGACACTGCATTCATTTTAGGAGGATAATGATATGTAACATTTGTATAGTACCACACAGTTTTCAGAACTCCTTCACAGACACCATTTCATTGGACTTCCCAGTACTTTGTATGGAAAACATCTCCATGTCCAGATAACAAAACTAAGAATTAATTAAGTAGGTTAATTCCAGAGTTGCTGAACTTCTCAAAGGTAAAACTAGGGATCCAGCCTGGAACTTTTGGCTCTGAAGCTCTTTTTCCTCCACCCCATGTTCATGCTGAAGAATCTCGAAAGACATATGAATAAAATAATCACATAGCAGAAGAAGGAGTCTTGAGAGATAAGGTAAATGTGTCAGTTATTGATTTAGTGCCTCTTAGCTCCAAATTTACCCATCATTCCTGTTCTGTGAAACTGGATCTGGGCCCATTAAATGATTATGCTCTGCCACTGCTGAAGTGACACTGCAGGAGAGTTTTACTTCCTGGTTGGCGTCTGCTTGCTCAGCAGGCTTCTTTAACATACATCTGCCTTTCCCAGTGCCTGCTCTGCAGTGCACATTGGCCAGCAGCCTCCCCCGCAGCACTCCACTGAGGCAGATTCATGGTAGAGTGCTTCTGGGGAGACACTTCCCAGTGAACGGCACTCTAGAGGGTGGATCTCTGGCAAGCTCTGCTGCAAGAAACCATAGCAACTTCTCTGGCATCCAGTGAGTAAGTTATATCCTCTTTAACAAGGTCTGGATTACAGCCCCATGGCTCTTTCTTGGGTGGAACACTAGGGGATATGACTGCTCCTTGTATCTGCTATTCATATATATGTATGAATGTATATTTGAATATATTTTCAAAATATATATTTTCAAAATATATTTTGAGACAGGGTCCCACTCTGTTGCTCAGGCTGGAGGGCAGTGGCATAATCACACCTCACTGCAGCCTCAACCTCCCGGGCTCAAGCAATTCTCCCACCTCAGCCTCCTGAGTAGCTGGGTCTCTAGGTACATGCCACTGCACCTCGATAACTTTTTGTATTTTTAGTAGAGATGGGATTTTGCAGTGTTGCTCAGGCTAGGCTAGTCTCCAACTGGGTTCAAGTGATCCACCTGCTTCGGCCTCTCAAAGGGCTGGGATTACAGGTGTGAGCCATCACACCCGGTCCCTATATTCTTTAGAATTCTCTTTCTTTTTTCCATTTTTCCCTATTATTCCCATGAGTTCTCTTTATTTCTTATAAGCCAAACCAAAAATCATAGTTACTCCATCCTACTTACTCCAATCCTAATCTTCAAATTTTCCCTGGTTTAAATCTATGCTTTTTTTTCCTTCTGATTAAACTCTGACTGATACAGTAAACATAATAGGAGCATTCAGCTCATAAGATAAGAGTAGATAGGGAATAGAAATAAAACCCATAAAACTACGAAGAGTACGGAAACTATGAACGATGACATTCTCTAAAACCTAGTTCATAATTATGGGTCCTAACTTTGAAATCGGGAAGAGTAGCCAGCTATAAGAGAAATAAAAGGACTTCTTTATGCTCTTCTTTTCTTGCATTTGTTGTTATGAGAGGTAATACAAGGCAAAAATACAGATTGTTTCAAGATCGATCTGGATAAATTCAAGGATGACAAATCTAAAAATAAGGGAAGCAGAATTTCCTAGGCTACATATCACAAACTGTGTCATATAATGGGGACCAAACTTAATATCATATTAAACACTTCCTACAGGTCAGTGTCATTCAGAAATGTACTGTTTTTTAAACTGGGGTCCTGTTCTTTACATGATTTTTAAAAATTTATGCTTTTACTCAGGTAACTTAAAAATATATACAGTCTGATCATCTGTCCAATTGATTATCACAAAGCTGGGTTTTACTACATAATTTCAGTGCTCCATTTTACAGGTGTATTTCAGAGCACGCTGATATCAGGTAGCACCAGCTTATTTGATAAGGGCTAATTACATGAACCAGTTGAACTGCTAAATATGCTAGTGCCATGTAAAAGCCAAGTGTCATCATGGCACACTGAAGAGGCAGTGAGTGAAGTGAATCATAGTTATCCCTAATGCAAAAGGGATCAATCAGTACCATATGTATATTGCCTACTCAATTTCAGAAAAACATCATTCTTCACAATAATTTCAGTGTTCTTGATTTTAAAGCCTTATTAATTTATTTTTTTTGAGACAGGGTCCTGCTCTGTCACTCAGGTTGGAGTGGTGTTGTGATCAAGGCTCACTGCAGCTTTGACCTCTCGGGCTCTAGCGATCTTCCCACCTCAGCCCTCCAAGTAGCTGGGGCTATAGTGCCACCACGCCTGGCTAATTTTTGTATTTTTGTAGAGAAGGGGTTTCACTATGTTCCCCAGGCTAGTCTTAAACTCCTAGACTCAAGTGATCTGCCCGCCTTGGCTTCCGAGAGTGCTGGGATTACAGGCATTAGCTACCTTGCCAGGCTAGTATTTAGTATTTGAGGAGCAAAAGCATTTAGGTGGTTACTGCAAAAGTCCAGGGACATCACAATAAGGGCTTAGTCAATGGAGGTGCCCTAGAAATGTAAATCAAGGGATAGAAGGGTAACATTGTGGGGGAAGGTTGAAAGTGGCTTTATTATTTATGTAAATTTGTCACTTGTTGTTTTGCCTTTATAAATGAACAAGGGCTAAAGAATGTTTAAACCTATTTTTCTGTAATATTTGTAAAAATAATACAAGTAACTCTGGGAATCTACTCTATATATAGAGATGTATTTCATTTAAAGGAGAGACACTCTGAAGTAGATGGCCAATGGATTTCATGTTAGGCTTATTCTTATATTCTGAGGTTTATGTCTAATGCTCAACTGGATCTGCCTATATTGTCAGGTGAAAGTAGACAAAGGCTCTGCTTATGTTTCTCCTAATGGTTTGACAGGGATCATCTTACATATATGACAAAGGATAATTTATTTGTTGGGCAAAGATGTATGACACCAACAAGTTCATTTTGGTTTCATTACAAACTGTTGCTTTTCTGTGTGTGGAAAAGGCTAAAATATAAAAAAAATTTATTATCTGTATCAAATATAGTAAAATTAATTTTTCAAGTTCTTATGTAATGATTAATTGCTTGGTGATATTACTTTTGAAGAGAGTCAAATTATGCATAAATTAACTTTATAGATCAGGTAAAATAATCAGTGGTTTAAGAAGCTATGGTAGGTTGGGGGTAATGGCTTATGCCTGTATCCCAGCACTTTGGAAGGCCAAGGTGGGTGGATCACTTGAGGTCAGGAGGTCAAGACCAGCCTGGCCAACATGATAAAACCCCTGTCTCTACTAAAATTACAAAAATTAGCTGGATGTGTCTCCTTGAACCCAGGAGGTGGAGGTTGCAGTGAGTGGAGATAACATCACTGCATCCAGCCTGGGCAACAGAGTGAGACTCCATCTCAAAAAAATAAATAAATAAATAAAAGAAACTATGATAGGCATTGTCTGTTCCCTATAATAATGGGATTCTCTCTGTGGTATCTTTTACTCTTAAAAAAAAAAATCTCTGAAGTCAATGAATTGAACATAATTAAGTTACAGGGAATGAATTTTAAAAATGGAATTAAAACTAAGAAAAAAATGCCATTTAATATAGATCTTAGGTAATTATGACAATAAAGTTATTCAGCATAATTTGAAATGAATTATTAAGATCTCTCAGGGTATTCTCTTTGGTATTATAGTATGCAAAAGTTAAATAAATAAAAATTATCTTTGGTATTACATTCAGCAAACAAAAATTCTCTTTGGTATTATAGTAGGCAAAAAATAAATAAAAATTCCAGTGTCCCAGAAGACAGCAATACAATAGTAGTGTGACTTACCTTTTAAAGGCTGCCAATTGCCTTACAAAATGTTATGCAGTATCTGTGTTTTTGTACCTATTTTAGCCAAAAGGCCAAGAAACAATTATGCGTTTTCTGATTAAGAAAATAATTTGAGGACCTGCAGTTGTCTCTTGGCAGCAAACAATGGCGTTAAAGACAGAACGACTCAGAAATTTGGTAGATTCTCCAAATTTAAAAAGTGAGAGCTAAATTTTTTGAACATTATTAAAAATATTTCTATAAGTTCTCTATGATGGGATTTTTAGGAGGCTATGATTACCGTTATTTTTAATTTCTGAAAATGTTCACATTGATACTGTTGATATAATCCCAAGGGAAGGGAAAGGCAATCTTTCTTAAATAGACATTCTTTTCTAGACTGTTCTTAGCAACTGTTTAGTTCTTTAATAAGAAGCCCTGTTATTAATAATATAAGAAATACTGACATTTACATGACTTTTATATGGAACAAACAGGTGACTCACCATTTTATGTATGGCTAAAATGCAATTGTTATATACCATTAAACAATGTGGATATGGTCCAGATCAGGCTAAATATTTACAAAGAAAACTAACAGATGATTACTTGCAATTTTTTTTGCATTGTTTTTTTGAGACCCACTCTGTTACCCAGGATGGAGTGCAGTGGCATGAGTTTGGCTCACTGTATCCTTGACCTGCTGGGCTCATGCAATCTTCCTACCTCAGCCTCCCATGGTGGGACTACAAGCACACACTAACACGTCTGGCTAGTTTTTCTATTTTTTTTTTTTTTGTAGAGATGGTGTTTTCCTATGTTGCCCAGGCTGCTCTACAACTCTTAGCCTTAAGTAAACCTCCCTCCTCAGCCTCCCAAAGTATTGGGATTACAGGAATGAGTCCTGCACATAGCCACTTGTAGTAATATTCTTGGAACTGCCACCATCACCATCACATTTAAAGACTCAAAAAAAGATACTTCCACTTTCTTGGAGTACAGAATCACTAGCTCAACCAAAAATCAATGCAGCCCCCCAAAATAATAAGTCTTAGTTAAGTCTTTGAAATTCTGGTGGAGCTGTCGGGTGAAAACAGTAATGCTTTACTTCAATGGATGTCAGTGAAAACTCACCTCTCCACTGTCACTTTTGATTGGTGTGAGGTAACCACATGTGGGCTGGCAACTGGCTCTCCATTTCCTGGAGCGTTTGCTGTACATGGAAGTGCAGATACCTCTGGGCATAGCAAAGGAGACAGAATGAAGGGTTACTAACATTCTTTCATCAGACCTAAACTCCAAGAGCCAGAATGTCTTGATTTACGTCTTGGCTCTGCTACTTACCAGTTGTGAGACCTTGGGCACATCACTTAAACTCTCTGTGGCTTAGTTTCCCCATTAGTAACTACCTATTTCATAGGCTGTTAGAATTAAATGTATTAACATTTACACAAGTAAAGGACTTAGAACTGTGCCTGGCATGTTGTAAGCACTAAAATAAGTATTATTAGTTTTTCTTGCACTAAAGTTACAGAAAGCATATAATATTGAAACCAAAGCCACTGATAAAGATAGCAGTATGCTGACTTGATCAAGCTGACACTAAATATCTTTACGAAGGATTCAGAGCAAATCACCATGGAACACCATAAGTATTAAACATATTTCTGAAAACTCAGTTTAGTCCTATGCACACTTAGAATGATGAGGATTTCACAAATGGAAAGGCAGGGTACTGTACCTAAACACTCCACCTCATTATTCAAAGCTCAATGTTGCAGCCTACTTTAAGCTAACATTGATGACTGCCTCTAAAACACAGGATAGGGTTACTTGTAAACTTTCATATAGGCTGGAGTTTCAGATAAATCTATGGTAGTTTATGGTTTCAGCTTGATGTGAAAGAATAACTGAAATAATTCCTACCCTTCACCCCTTGCCCCCTGCTTTTTTTGAGACAGGGTCTTATTTTGTCACTCAGGCTGCAGTGCAGTGGCGTGATCATGGCTCACTATAGCCTCTACCTCCTGGGCTTAGGCAATCCTCCTGCTTCAGCCTCCCAAGTAGCTGGGACCACAGGTGCATGCCACTATGCCCAGCTAATTAAAAAACAAAATTATTTGTAGAGACAGGGTCTTGCCCAGTCTTGAACTCCTGGGTTCAAGTGATCCTCCTGCCTCAGCCTCCCGAAGTGTTGGGATTATAGGCGTGAGCCACCACACCTGGCCTGAAATAATTCTAAGACAGTGTTATTTTACAGCCTGGTACAAATTCAATAAAGCTGCCAGAGGTACAAGAGATCTGATAACTAAGGCACAAAGTAAGTGATAATTTCAAATCTGCCCAAATTTGCAAAGCTGGTAACAGGCAGCTCCTGAGAAAACATCTGATGGGTCTGTACACTTGCCTGCCTGCTTACCCGCCTTCGAATTTTCTTTGGAGCACTGGTAACATCAGTCAGTCCTCAGTCAGATGTGTGACTGGGAGAAGGGGAATATTTGTTAGGCACAGCTAATCCTCAAGCCTCTTTTTAGCAATTTTAACTCAAATCAAATTTATATGAGTGTTGACAAACAGAGCTATGCCAGTCAGCAAGTTTCACCTTCCCTCTTACCTTTCTTCATTCTTGTATTGAATTATAAAGAATATTGAAAGAACAGGTAAGGTAATAGCAGGAAGAGGGAAAATGAAGACAAACAAAAAGCATTAGCCCCTCAAATAATCCTGAGCAGGTGCAAGTTACAGCCTAACTTGATCACTCATGACAACTACTGGGTACTATGCCTGCTTACAAGCTTACGTCTGTTATAATATTCTTGAAGACAGCATGCTAAAAATGCAACAGGGTTATAATATACAACCATTAGGACTATTCTCCAAACATACACATACATACATTAGGGCATCTTTAAAAGAGCATGAAAACCCTACTGTAAAGGAATTATGACATACAGAAACCAAAATCGCTTCTATTAAAATAAAACTAAGTCCCAAAATACCAATAATACTTTACATTTGAAAATCCTTAATGTTTGCAGGCAATGTTCTGTCTTTGATCTTTAATCCAAAAGTATTCCAGCCTTTGCTTTTGTTTGTAAATAGAAACTGCAGTACCTGTGGTATTTTCTTTTCATTTTGGTATCACACATGAGGAAAGAGGAAGACAAGGATGAGTTATCTCCTAACCACCTGCATGTACCATCATGAAGACCATGCGTGATCAATGAAGGAGTAGAATCAGGAGCTGGGGAACCCGGGCCCCAGCTGCGTGAGCCTGGCCTGTCACTGGATCTGAGAGCCCTGTGGGTAGGGACCTTGCCTATTTGTTCACACTGAACCCAGCCCTGTAACAACCTGGTACATAGAAGAGCTTCAAAAATGCTTGTTGACTCCAAGACAAAGTAAAGTAACCACCTCACAAGGTGGCAGTAGAAATTATGTATGAAAGATGTACCGGATACAAAAAGGGTACTTAATCAATATTAATTTAATCTGAGTATTAAGGTTAATTTCACTTTATTTAAAATACATTTGACTTATAATCACCTCACCAAAAAAAAAAAAAAAAAAATCAGTAATCTCTTTCCAAAGCCTATGGCATATATGTAACTCTCTAATGCAATTTCAAGATTACTGTACATTATATGTATGGTATCACTATGGAGCCCAAGAACATGCCCAATTATTTGTTAATTAAACAACAAGAATTTCAACAAAATTTTAACTTTATTTTGAAGTCAGATCTAAGAGAAATAACATTTAAATTCTGTTTCTGAGAACTGCCTATAATACAAGTTGTCAAATGTATAAATTTAAAGTCCTTCCTTAAGAGGAAATATAAATATATTCTACTGGAGCAGACAGTACGTGACAAACGAAATTTAGTTTTATAAATTCAAAGGAAATTCTTCTAAAAGTATGTGTATGTATACACATATGCATAAGTATGTATACATATATGCATTACATAAGGTGATTTAAAATGTCAAGCACCCCATTAGAGTATAAACAAATGTGCAAAGTATCTGGCAGAAAAACTAGACAGAGTTTTACATAAGAGGAAGGAGTAGATGACAGAGCTCTAAGCTTCCAGGAGTCTGTGAGTACTGGATCTTTTTTCTCTCCATCAACTCCTGTGCATCTTCACCCCTGGAGAGTCAATTCAGACATTTTATACATGAATTGGTTTGAGTTCATTGTTAGAAATACCTGTTCCTCCAGCAAGAGCTCCCTTGGCTATATCGCCATTTCTCTGATCAATGGTTTTCTACCAAGAAGAAAAGAAGACGACTTTAAAAAATTAGAGTTACAAGTGAAAATGGCAAAGATAAAAGCAGACAAGAAGAGTTAGAAAACGGCCATGTCGGATACCTTATCTGTAGCGTCTGTTCTCCTGGTTCTTTTCATAATCTCCTCAAGTCGCTATAAGAAAGGAAGAATTGGGCAAGAAGATCAGACACAGAAAAAAAGCCAGCCTGGCACATTTAACTGATGAAATAGATTATTAAAAATGCTCTGCTAGTTTGGAAAAATAAAATACGCATTTTCTTTTTTTTTTTGAAACAGAGTCTTGCCCTGTTGCCCAGGCTGGAGTGCAGTGGCAAGCTCTCAGTTCATTGCAGCCTCTGTCTCCTGAGCACAAGCAATACCCCTGCCTCAGCCTCCCGAGTGGCTGGGATTATAGGCACCGGCCACCACGCCCAGATAATTTTTCTATTTTTAGTAGAGACGGGGTTTCGCCATGTTGGTCAAGCTGGTCTTGAACTCCTAACCTCAGGTGATCCGCCTGCCTTGGCCTCCCAAAGTGCTGGGATTATAAGCACGAGCCACCGCATCTGGCCTTGCTACTGCGTCTTAATTGGAGTTATCCAAGAAAGTTGGAAGTGCCTTAAGCTAAGTGAGGTGGCGGTAACTGGTTTGTGGTGAGGGCTAAAACACTGAGAGAGATTTCTTTGCAGGAGATTGTCATCACTGAGGGGCTACTAGTTTATGTGGAGAGGGAAGAACACGCATTTTCCGACGGCAAGGGCTAGTGTCTGGGTCTTTTGAGGGTTGCAAGTCCGCGTCCCGGGCCTCTGTGCTGAGACGCAGCTACCTACCTTCTTTCTCTCCAGGCGCTCCTGCTCCTCTCTCTGGAAATGCTTCTCTCGTTCCTGCCGGACCCTCTCTGCTTCTTCACGAACACGAGCTTCTTCTTCTTTCTGAAAACAGAAAGTCGGCGCCTGCCTCTGACAAACAGGCGGATGCCCGGGTGTTCCAGGGGGCTCCTGGAGGTGGGAGTGAGGTGGCGGATGGAGGAGGTGTGGACAGCGGGAACACGGCCACCCTCCTCTGCTGGGCTGGGGCGCCTCCCTGCGGGGCTGCTCCGGACCGGACCAGGACGCACCTGCTTCTGGGCGCGCTCCGCCTCCTCCCGCTCGCGCTGCGCCCGCTCCTCCGCCTGCCGCCGCAGCTGCTCCTCTTTCTCCCGGGCCTGCTCTGCCTCCAGCCGGCGTGACTCCTCACGGCGAGTCCGCTCTTCAGCCACCCGTTGAGCCAATTCTTCTCTCTTTTGTCTGGAAAAAGATAAAAACAAGCAATGAGGAAAGGATTCCCTATTTAATAAATGGTGTTGGGAAAACTGGCTAGCCATATACAGGTGGCTGAAACTGGACCCCCTCCTTACACCTTATGCAAAAATTAACTCCAGGTGGATTAAAGATTTAAACATAAGAATTAACACCATAAAAACCGTAGAAGAAAACCTAGTCAAAACCACTCAGGACATAGGAACAGGCAAGGACTTCATGACTAAAACACCAAGAGCAACAGCATCAAAAGCCAAAATAGACAAATGGGATCTAATTAAAACTTAAGCGCTTCTGCACAGCAAAAGAAACAATCATTAGAGTGAACCAGCAACTAACAGAATGGGAAAAATTTTTGCAATCTACCCATCTGACAAAGGGCTGATATCCAGAATCTACAAAGAACTAAAGCAGATTTACAAGAAAAAAACAAACCCATTTAAAAGTAGGCGAAGGATATGAACAGACACTTTACAAAAGACAACATATAGGAGGCCAACGAACATATGAAAATGCTCATCATCACTGGTCATTAGAGAAATGCAAATCAAAACTACACTGAGATACCATCTCACGCCAGTTAGAATGGCGATCATTAAAAAATCTGGAGACAACAGATGCTGGAGAGGATGTGGAGAAATAGGAACACTTTTACACTGCTGGTGGGAGTGTAAATTAGTTCAACCATTGTGGAAGACAGTGTGGCGATTCCTCAAGGACCTAGAAATAGAAATTCCATTTGACCCAGCATTCCCATTACTGGGTATATGTCCAAAGGATTATAAATCGTTCTATTATAAAGACACCTGCACATGTATGCTTGTTGTGGCACTATTTACATTAGCAAAGACCTGGAATCAACCCAAATGCCCATCAATGATAGACAGGACAAAGAAAAGGTGGCACATATACACCATGGAATGCTATGTAGCCACAAAAAATGACAAGTTCCTGTCCTTTGTAGAGACATGGATGAATCTAGAAACCATCATTCTCAGCAAACTGACACAAGAACAGAAAACCAAACACTGCATGTTCTCACTCATAGGCAGGTGATGAACGATGAAAACACTTGAGCACAGGAAAGGGAACAACACTCACTGGGCTAGGTGAGGAGATGGAGGGGAGAGGAGGGGTGGGGCAGCGGGGCGTGGGGTGGATGGGGAGGGATAACACCGGGAGAAATGCCTGATGTAGGCAACGGGGGCGGGGGGGCGGAGATGTGGCATGTATGTACCTATGCAACAATCCTAGGATGTGCACATGTACTCCAGAGCCCAAAGTACAATTAAAAAAAAGACAAAACCAAAACCAAAGACACCTGAGGGGAAATCCTTGGAGAGGGGCCTGCCTCAGTGGTTCTGTAGGGGCAGTTCCTTTAGGTGTCCAGCGGAAAAATCCCCACCGGATGCATTCAGCACTGCTAAGGGACAAAATGCAAGGCCACCCTCAGTCTTTCCCCCTCTACCAGCTGCATTGCCATACATGGTAAGCAGAAGGAACATGTAACCACCAATATCTTGAGGAGAGCTGGCTTTTTGCAAAGAATTTAACTATTTTTAGAGGCTCAGACTTGTTTAATTCAAATAATGTGACTTCTTAGTAATGAATTTGAAGCATCCCCACCAAAGGAAATCTTTGTAAATAAATAAGGGTCATAGTGTTCTGTCACAGGACATGTGGGATGGTCATGTTGCCCTGTGACCTTGCAGCTGGTCTGCAAGGATGAAAGCTTCCTTATTAAAGCCAAGGGCAAGGCATGGCCAAGATGACGGCCCAGTGTGGGGCATGAGATCCTTCCCCAAGGTACAGTTGTCTTTGTTTGAAGAACAATTATATTGACATTAGTCTTATTAGCCCCAGAAGGTGACCAATTAAGCAAACTGTCTCTGGCATACTGCCAGGCAGGTAATCATGGGGCGTGTCAAGATCCTACCCGGCCACCCTCCAAGAGGAGTTTTATCTGGAAAGGAGAAAACATGAACCCGTATTATGCAGCCTTAATGTGATAATTACAAAGATAAAGAGGAAACCGGGAGATTGGAGATGTGTTAAGTAAACAGCAGACTGTACAATTGTACCTCTGCTGTGGTTATAATTATGTAAATGTGTATGTATGTTTCTGTACACACACACTCCCATACTGTTGAAAGACTAGAAAGGACCACCCAAATGTATACAATTACTGAAAAGTGATATGATTATGGATTTTTTTTCTTTAAACTTTTCTCCATCAATGTTGTTGTAATATAATTAAAATAAGAAAACGTGGCTGGGCATGGTAGCTAATGCCTGTAATCCCAACATGTTGGGGGGTTTGGGTGGGAGGATCCCTTGAGCCCAAGAGTTTGAGACTAGGCTGGGCAATATAGTGAGACCCCATTTCTATTAAAAAAAAAATAGAAAAAAACTCGATTTAAAAAGCAAATTGCTTGGTAGTCAAAGGAGATAATCCTGAAAGAACTAATCCATTCACCTTCATCAGTATAATCACCTCTTCCCTCTCGGAGGGGAGATGAGTTAATCCAAGGTATCATTGACATCACTGACACCATGGTGCTGAGCAATGTCTCCCCTTTACCTTTCAAGCTCTTCCCGCTCCCTCCTCTCCCTTTCTTCCTTTTCTCTCTGCTCTCGGGCCAGCCGCCTCTTCTCAGCTAGTAGCCTTGTGGCCTCTTCTGGGTCGGTGGTTCCTGCAGAAGGCTTAGGAGAAGCACTGACAGTCACAGTGGATGACGGTGGTGGGACCATGGCTGGGGTGGGTACTGAGGCTGGAGCTGGGGCCGAGGCTGGAGCTGGGGCCGTGGCTGGAGCAGCTGCACAAATAAGTACAAGGAGAAAAGCAATTGGAAACAAAATCCAAAGAACAAAACAAAAACTGGCATTCCCCACATCCCAGGCCTAGAATTCGCCCTTATGAAAGAAAAGGGAATGTTTATTACTGTGTGTTCTCACGGTTTCACTGTGTTCTATCTGTAACCAAGCAACAGATAAAAAAATCAGTATGTGTAAGTGAGACATCCAAAAAGATGACACTCTGTCACCAAGTCTTATTTTTATACCAGCGAAATCATTTAACGACATACATTGAATGTGTATAGAGCCTCATGTTAGAGTCTGTAGGAAGTTATACACTGAGCAAAAAGAAGATGAGATCATCCATTTGTCTTTCATTGCATTTGAAAATTCCTACTCTTTGGTAACCATTCATTACTAGAGCAGCATCCTAAGCATCCAGGCCACGAGTCCAGATTCAGACTGGGAAGATGACACCCTATGAAGGGGACTCTTTTGTTTCCCCAGAGCTGCCTCTAGGTCTGAGATGAGAGGAGCTTAGGGCCTCTTCAGGAGCTCGTGCTCATTCTGCTTGTTCATCCCAGGCTGCCAAGATGCAAGACGGGAGCAGAAGTGCTCTGGCCTTGCTTGGATTTAGGAAGATGACCTAGAGTGCTGGTGCAGCAGAAGCCCCACACAGACACTCCCAATTCTGTACCACAGCGAGTGCCAGCTGTGGCACCTGGCGGCTCCAGCCCCTCCTTTCGAGGGTCACATTTCTACTTCTGCTTCCACAGATTTTTCTTGACCATTGTGATGCTCTCTAGCCCTTAATTCCCTTTCCCGTGGAGGGAAACACTGGACTCCTCCTTTCTCTAACATTTTCACCTGTTTCGAATCATCTCTTCTTTTTTTGCCCCCACCTTCTGTCTCCAAATTAAGTCTTAAGTAGAAAACTTTTGAATAAAGACAATTCTCAACTAGAAATATTGAATTCCCAGATCTAGGTGGTTTTAAATTTCTAAAAGCATCTGAGTTAGCCTGGGAGAGGTGAGAACCAGTGGGTCTTCTGGAAAAAAAATCTGACTTCTATCAAGCACACAGGCTATGCCAGGGGTCCTTCAACTGCAATATGCTATGCACAGGAATAGCACGGCCAGATTTAACTGGCCACCCTGTGTTCTATCTGGCAACCATGTTTAGGCATCTACTGACAAGCTTAGCATCTTTCAGAGTCCTCACATCCACCACTGCATATTCTGACTCAATAAGTCTGAGGTAAAACCAAAGGTCTGTATTTCAAAACATTATGGACATGGTGGTTTAAACATATTTTCAGTTGTCCTCAGCTGCTGACAAGGTGCCCTCAGTCCCTCTGAGGAATCTAGGGCCACGCTGGAGTGGAACCCTCACTTCATCGGGCAACTGGCACCTTGTCTGGCAGTTCCAGGCAGCCCCACACTTGCTCACACCACAGCCTCTGTTTCTGAGCTCACCTGCATTCTGCATGAGGCTCAGCCCTCATTCTGCCTGAGGGTCAGGGGACTGTCAAGGAGGATAAGATCAATGCCTTCATTAAAGTAGCTGGTGAATGTGAATAAAAATAAATAAATAAATATAGGTAGCTGGTGTAACTGTTGAACCTTTTTGGACTGGCTTGTTGGCAAAGGTGGCCAGTGATGACATGGGGAGCCTCACCTGCAATGTGGAGTTTGTGGAGCTGTACTAGCAGGAGGTCCTGCCCCCTCTACTAATGCTGTTCCAGCTGAGGGAAAGAAATAGAAGCAAAGTAAAGAGAGTCTGAGGAGTCCCAGGAGGATATGGGCTTTGGTCTTTTTGACCAAACCTCTTTTGTAACAAGTTCAATACAGAGCTGAACTCTTAAAACGCATTCTTTGAAAACTCCCCCTTCAAAAGGGAGAGACTATGTCTTCTCCTGGAGTGTGAGTTCCACCTAGTGACTTTTCTACTTAACAGAATGTGACAGAAACATTGGTGTGTGACTTCTGAGACTGGGTCAAAAAGACACCGTAGACTCCTCCTCATTCTGTCTTCTAGGTCAGTCATGCTGGTGGAAGCCGGCAGAGCAAGCAGACATTCAGCAATATATGGAGCAGTCCATGTGTAGAGAAACTGAAGCCACTCATCTCTCGCCTTGTGTGTCAGCCACCGTTCAGCTCTGGGTGAGTCGCGAGATGACTGCAGCTCTAGCAGACAGCCTGACTGCAATCTCATGAGCTTGACTGCAATCTCCCAGCTGAGCTGCTCCAAGCTCCTGACCCAAGAATCCGTGTGATATGATAAATGCTTGTTGTTGTTTTTAAGCTGTGAATTCATTGTGCAGCAATAGATAACAAATACAACAGGAGATTTCGATGCAGGTGCTCTGAACACATTTTGTGAAACACTGGACTTAGCCAATAAAAGCACTGAGAAGCTACGCCTGAATTCATGTGTTTGTGGCTCTAACAATAGGCTGATTCAAGATTTACATTTCTATTTCTGCTTCCACAGATTTATTTTTTTTCACGGCTATCATGATGCACTATGGCCCTCCTTTCCTTTCTTTCCTTTTCCATGGAAGCAAACACTGGGCTCCTCCTTTCTCTAACATTTCACCTGTCATGAATATCTCTTCTTTCTTGCTCCGCCCTCTATCTTCAAATTAAGTCTTAAGTAGAAAACTTTTGAATGAAGACAGTTTTCAACTAGAAATATTGAATTTCTAGCTCCAGGTGATTTTATATTTCTAAGTAGCATCTGGTTAGCCTGGCAGAGGCGAAAACCAGTAGGTCCTTCTGGAAAAAATTCTGACCTCTATCAACCGCACAGGCTAAGCCAGGGGCTCCTTAAACTGCAGTGTGCATAGGAATAGTATTGTCATGTAATTATTTTACTTAATTTTTTACTAAGTAAAAAACTATTTTTAAGCAACCCTAAGTTAAAAAGTCTATTTAAGGAAAGGTGTTAAACTTAACCTTAGAGTAATATTTCCAAGTTTCCAATAAGAGAAGAAAAGGAAAACAAAAAAAGCTTAATCAAAGCAGTGCGGGAGAAAAAGAGAGAGCACCCAAACCACAGGTGAGTTCGCTCTTACCAGGGCCAGCTTCTGGTTTGGCAGGTGTCCCCTCTTCAACTGTGGTGGCTTCCACCTTCACTAAAGGTGCTCTGCCCTTTAGTGAGGGCTCGTTGGCAACTTTCTGAGGTTCCTTCTCAGGGTCCTTTTTCTCAGGGTCTTTTTTCTCAGGCTCCACTCTGCCTTCCCTCTTGACAGGACGGATGTTGCCGGGGGATGGGGGCCGGCCCTGAGCAGGGGCAGCTTTGACTGTGCTGGGTGGCAAAGAGGATGTTGGTCTGGGTGTCCCAGGCAAGTGAGGAAGAGACTTGGATGGAAGCCTGGGTCACAAACCAACAAGGGAGACAGAAGGGGACACATGAGAACAGGTTTGCCAGAACTTGGAACACGACTCGAAGGAAAATAATGCAGATATTGGCCAGGCGTGGTGGCTCATGCCTGTAAACCCAGAACTTTGGGAGGCTGAGGCAGATGGATCACGAGGTTAAGAGATCGAGACCATCCTGGACAACATGGTGAAACCCCATCTCTACTAAAAACACAAAAAAAGTAGCTGGGCATGGTGGCGCATGCCTGTAGCTCCAGCTACTTGGGAGGCTGAGGCAAGATTGCACCACTGCACTTCAGCCTGGTCAACACAGCGAGACTCCGTCTCAAAAAAAACAAAAACAAAAACAAAAAAAAAGAAACAAGAATGCAGATATTTAGCTATGTGTATTTGTTTTTTATGTGGTAGACACAGAAATAGAGTTCCCTAAAGCTAGGGAACCATTCCAATTTTTGTTTTTTCTTTCCTTTTGGGAAGAATGTTATTCCCAAAGTCAAAGCCAAACAGCATGAGGACAACGGTTCACTTTCAGAGGAGAGAGGTTACTAATTCACTAACATGGAACAGCCCAGCCAGTCACTTACATTTCACTTACCAAAGTCGGGAGGAAGCTGGCGGTCTTGCTTTGGGATTAGATGGAGATAGAGCCCTTCGGGTGCCAGATGTAAGGAAGAAGGGTGTATTTTCTCTCTCTCTTTCTTTTTTATGGCCCTAAGTTCAGAGAAACTCAATAGTTAGATTTTTCCATGAGTGAGGCAACCACATTCACAGCACTCAACAGTGGAGCTAGAAACCATTGAATGACTTCCAAGAAATTTTCTCAGCGATGCCACATATACCCATTCCATCACAACAAAAGGCCCTTGGTAGCTTAACACTGAACAGTATAACTGAATTAACACAATGTGACACTAATAAGTTCATTCTGGATGTGTGATTTGGAGTCATATTTGTCAAAAAAGCATTCATATATACATACTTTTAGAAAGCACCTATACTTTGTGTTTAAAAATTAATTACCTAAAACAAAACCTCTCAATCTGGTTTATCCTACACAAATGTCAAATGTTATTTTCATTTTTAAAAAACTTTTAATTAAAACACATCTTTTCTTTTTAATTCTTTAGCATTCCCCCCCAAATATACTATAGCTCAGTCTTTTAAAAAATTATATGACTGCTATATTAGACATGAACTCATTTTTTCTTTTATATTGATTTTGCATAATAGAATCAAGTCCTTCTTCACCTAGCATCCTCTTGCAGCAATGGATAACTGATACAACAGGTGATTTTGAAGGAAAGTCAGGTTTAAAGTGAGGAATTTCAGCTATTTGTTTTTTTGCTCTCCCTTACCAGGAATAAAGCTGAAATCTGAAGGTGGGCCAAAACATCACCCCTCCCTGACTGCCAACTAGGAATTCAGCCGGAGAGATGACACTTTCCTAAGTCAAAATGGGCAAAGGGAAGCCAGAGAAATGTTCTAATACCCTAAAGTCAATCAAGACCAAAACGAACAAACAAAAACTGTACAGAGCAAAACAGACCCATTCCAAGTATCTGAAACCTAACGATGCCCTGGGGTGGGAGGGACTGCATGCTGGAGGCACCCATATGGACAGTTGTCAGGAGGGCAGACTGCAAGTGTGCATGGGAAGGGGCAGAAAACTATCTTGTCCTAGGTCACATAAAATAGTAGTATATCTTTTCCTCTCTCCTTTTCTGCCTGGCTCAAGCATCCACTCCTCTCTTCCTTTCCCTTTTATTCCCTTCAGTGTCCCTTTTAATTGCTTCTCTCTATTTTCCTTAAGTAACATCCTAGCTGATGGACTGGGCTATCGGAGGAGCAAAAACATCTAAGGGTCAAATAATGCTCATTGTCTCCCTGGAATTTCTAAACAGAAAAAATGAAGAAAGAGGCAGAGAAGAGCTTCACAAGGTATGTGGCAGCTCTCCATCATTTCCAGCTGTTCAACCACCGTATCTCCCATCTTAGGGCCCCCAAAGTAGGAGATGGGGCCTCAGAGAGCTGCTGTGGGCTTTGGGTATGAAAAGCTGCAGCCGCCATATGGGGTGCTCCTGGCTGGTGTACAGGGTAGGCCCAGGGCTCTTACCAGGGGAGACTGGGGTTAAGTGTCTCGAGTAGCCCTTCTTTTTTTTCTTTTTCTCAAAACATTTTGATTTGGCTGACATCAGACCAGTAAGTAAACTAAATGGGAAAAAAATTCAAGAGGGACAATTTTTGATGGAGGGGGGGACTGGGGATTATTATTATCTGTGCCTTGATAATACAGGGATCAAGGAATGAACCTATATAAAGGTATATATATACTCTTAGGATTACAGCGCCTTTGAGCCAATTCTTTCTCTTTTAAAAGTGATCTCCTTTAATCACCTAGGGGTAGATGAGCGGAGGAGGAATGGTTAGGAAAAACACTCAATACTTAACACCCTCCCAAGCAGGGAGAGTTTTGTTTCTTTTCTCTTTCTGTTATATACTTTTCTAAGCCTTTTAGTCCTGTCATTGCTCTTATATCCAGCCACTCATTTGGGTACTACACATGTAAAGGCACTCCGGATTCTCATCCTGATCTGAGTTAATAGCCCACCGTCTATACAGTCATCTTTCCTATTAACACTTTCCACAATGCTGAGGGGAAACACATGCTCAGCAAGTCAAAGGGCTAGGCAACATGTCGCCAGGAAAAAGACTTTAATTTTATAATTAAGGTAAGGTTAGAATACAGTATAAATATCCTCCCAAGAGAGACGATTCATAGATACTTTAAGGCAGTGTTGTCTAATAGAACTTGCTGTGATGATGAAGATGTTCTAAATCTAGCCACTAACCGCATTTGCCTATTTGAATTTAAACCTAAATTAATTCAAATTAAGTAAAATAGAAAAGAAAATAAAGTACTTAGGAATGAACTTACAAAGGAGGCTAAAGACCTGCATAGTGAAAACTAGAAGATAGTGCTGAAAGAAATGAAAGACAACACAAACGGGAGGAAATCCTGTGTGCAGGGATTAGAAGATTTAATACTGTTAGGATGCCATGCATTCCCTATTGAAATCCCAATATAAATTTTTATTTTTTGCAGAAATATAAAAATTCAACCCAAAATTGACAAAAAATTTCAAAGGACCCTGAAGAACCAAAATAATCTTCAAAAATAACGAAGTTGGAGGTTTTACATTTCCTGATTTCACAACATATTACAGGTTGAGTATCCCTTATCCAAAATGATTGGGATGGCAGCACGTCAGATTGCAGATTTTGGAATACTTGCATTAACACTTACTGCTTTAGCAGCCCTAATCCGTAAAACTGGAAATCTGAAAATGTTCCTATGAGCATTTCCTTTAAGTGTCATGTTGGTACTCAAAAAGTTCCACATTTTGGAGCATTTTGTGTTTTGTATTTTTGAATTAGAGATACTCAGTTGGTACAAAGCTACAGTGATTAGTACTGTGTGGTTATGTATCAAGACAGATATATAGGGCCGGGCATTAGGGCTCACGTCTGTAATCCCAGCACATGGGGAGGCTGAGGCGGTAGATCACTTGAGGTCAGGAGTTCAAGATCAGCCTGGCCAACATGGCGAAACCCTTTCTCTACTAAAAATACAAAAATTACTTGGGCATGGTGGCACATGCCTGTAGTCTCGGCTACTCAGAAGGCTGAGGCATGAGAATCGCTTGAGCCTGGGAGGCAGAGGTTGCAGTGGGCCAAGACTGCACTCCTGCAATCCAGCCTGGGGGACAGAGAGAGACTCTGTCTCAAAAAAAAAAAAGATATGTAGACCCATGGAATAGAATACAGAAACAGAAACAAATCCCTTGTGTATATGGTCAAATGCTAACAGCATTCAATGAAACAAGGACATTCTCTTCAACAAATGATGCAGGGGAAAACTCGATATCCAAATGCAAAAGAATGAAGTTGGATTCTTGCCTTATAAAACACACAAAAGGTAACTCAAAATGGATTAAAGACTTAAAGCTATAAAGCCTCTAGAAGAAAACATAAGTAAAAAGCTTCATGACACTGCATTGGGTACTGCTTTCTTGGACATAACACCAAAAGCATAGGCAACAAAGTAAGAATAGACAAATGAGACAATATCAAACTGAAACACTTCTATGCATCAAAGAAAACAGAGTAAAAAAGCAACCTATGGAATAGTAGAAAGTATTTGCAAGTCATATATTTAATAGGGGATGACTACCAGAATATATAAATAACTCTATAATTCAACAATAATGAAACAACCCAATTAAAAAGTAGGCAAAGAACTTGAATAGAAATTTTTCTAACGATGATACATGAAAAGCCAACAAACATATGAAATATGTTCACCATCAGTGATCATTAAAGAAATGCAAACCAAAACTACAAGACATCACCTTACATTCCTTAAGATGGCTCTTATCAAAAAACGAGCTCACGATTGTTAGCGAGAATGTGAAGATACAGAAATCTTTGTGCACCGTTAGTGGGAATGTAAAATGGTACAGCTGCTATGGAAAATGGCATGGAGACTCCTCAAAAAATTGAAAATAGGATTACTATATCATCCAGCAGTCCCTGTATATCAAGTGAAACTAAAAGAAGTATCTCTAGGGATATCTATATTCCCATGTTCGTAGCAGCATTATTCACAAAAGCCACGAGGTGAAAGCAACTCAAATGTTCACTAACGGATGAACTGATAAAATGTGGTACATAAATATAATGGAATATTATTCAGCTCTAAAAAGGAAGGAAATTCTGACAAAAGCTGTAACAAGGATGAACCTTGAGGACATTATGCTAAGTGAAATAAGCTAGGGACAAAAATTCAAACACTGCATGATTTCACTTTTATGTGGTCTTTAAAGTAGCTAAATTCATAGAAACAAAGTACAACAGTGGCTGCCAGGGGCTGGGGGGAGGGAGAAAAGGGAAGTTGTTTAACGGGTATACAGCTGAGTTCTATAGGACTTAAAAAGTTCTGGACATTCGTTGCATTTCAATATGAATATACTTAACACTGCTGAACTTTAGAATGGTTAAAATATTAAATTTTATGTTATGTGGTTTTTTTTTTCCACCACAATTAAAGGTTTTTTAAAAACTTAAAATTCAGCTTGTCAGTCTCACTAGCCACTTTCCAGGTGCTCACTGCAGCCAGTCACTGTTGAATTCCACAGTGCAGCACCAGGGTATAAATGACTCCTTGAGTCATTTTCTGGCAGTCTTTGCCTAAATACTTGGTTGTAAAGAGGTAAAAAGACAGCCAAGTGATTAAACAGAGAAAGAAGAAGGCATTAAAAACAAAACAAAACAAGGCTCTGGATCATGTGATGACAAATCCCTCTCATTTAACCTGTCAGCCGCAGGTGACCCTCAACCTTCTCTCAAGGAGTGTTAATTTTTGTTTTACCCAGAACAAGATATTTTTTCCATGGTAAATGCTCTTTTCCCCTGTCCAGTGAGTACCCAACTTTGGGGCCAAACTGTTCTGTTTAACTATGGCTTTTTGTCCACAGCTAAGGAGGCTCTCTGAAACACCAACACTCTAATAAATTAATACTTCCAGACATCAAAGATTGTTTCACCTGTGGCTTAGAGGGTTGGAAGCCTGACTCAATCATGAATCAAACACTGATTCCAGAAAGGCTGAAGGAGCTTGAAAGAAAAACAGCCTGTAGGCAAAGCCGTGAAGCTCTCACAACCCTGAATTATCCTTTAAGCCAAATCCTTTTAAGTGTCCATCAGGTATATAAATCTGAATTGCTCTGGGAAGTTACGATTTCAAGAAATTGTTCCGGCCTTTCATTAAAAGGGTCATACTGTTATCCTGGAGAGGCAATGAGATCTTCTAGTTGACTGGTGAGTCCTTTAAGACTAAAGCACAATGTCTGAAGACCACAGAACAAGGTTTCCATCTTTCAACTGATAAACACAGGATTTAAAACAAAGAAGAAAGATTCCTGGAGACACACAAATTACCTCATTGCATTTATGGCATGGTGAAAATTAACATTACATCAGCCAGTAATAACAAGTACAAATTATATTTTTCACTTACAAATTCTGAGTTTATAGCATAGCCTAACAGCCTTTCAGGAATTGGTGGTTTAGCAAATGACTAATGTTTTCAAAATACTTTTTTGACTATATTTAAGATCTGGGCCTTGACAGGGATTAGCCAAGCAGGATAAAAATTCTTTATCTTGCTTTTGAGTGAACCACATTTAGAGTTCAGCCAGCTTCTGGATATGGTTGGAATAAAATGCCAAGGCAGCGGTCCAAGCCCACTTCCCCTCCAAAGGCCATTTGGTTTTCCTGCTTTCAAGAATGAAAGCATTCTGGCATTGCACATATACATATGGACCCCTCAGGAGGGTAGGGCGTCCACTCATACATGACTGAACAAAGAACAGCTTTCGTCTTCAAATTCAAATGTTTAGGGAGAGCAAAATCCCCAGGTGAAGAGGAAGTGGGGGGACACTACTGCCCAGCCAGCCAGATTCATGATCAATGGGAGAGATGGGATGGTGGATGTCGCGGTCTCCCCGTCATACGCCCACACCGCACCTCGGAGTCATGTCCAGTCTGCACAGGAACAGCACTGGCTCCCAGACTTGCCCAGCTGCTCCCAACAGCTACTCACCGCTGTGCCATGAATGGTCCTCCTGCGAGAAGAGCCCTCAGGTGGTGTTACAAAGAGTTTTGGTCGATCCATCGAATTTCTAGAGTGTGCAGCTTTGTAGGGCATGATGATGGGGCTGCAAGATGCTGAACGAGGACAAATGGGGATAACTAGGGTGCAGGTGATTGGTTTTACACACAAGAGAGCCAGAGGAGCAGTTGAAGAAAGCCAAAAGCAGGTTCAGGAAAGGAGCAAAGCAGAGATAGAGAGAAAAGTAGGAAGAAGATGTTATTACCTAAAGGTGCCCAGAACCATCATACTCAACTGTCCTTACAGTCCTATGAATTTATGATGAGTCCAAAAGGAAGGCATGTCCACGTAAAAAAATCTGGAATATACTGTTAGCTTTGGTTCTTTAAATACTAATGAAAGATGTAGATGTTATCCAGTAATTATGGAGAGCAATGGTTTTATATTCCTATTAGCTGATGGTTCTGGAAAAATCACTACATTAGTGATAAAAGATAATTTTTATATAAAGACTAGGTTACCAGACTTTTCCTAAATTAGCTTTAAGATGGAACAAAAGGTGGAAAGAGAGGAAGTGTGCAAGCAGGCAAGCAAGATACACTACAACTATTTCAGGATTCAAGTTCCACAGCCAGCAGGGGAAAAAAGCAACCAAACAAAAAATGTTAAATGAACAAGTCTTACCAGGTGTTAGGACTTGTCATAAGGATAAGTAATACTTTTCCAGGAAAATATTCTGTATATATCTTATTTATTTACAGGCAAACCAAATGCATGCTTCTGGGTTTTCCCAAAAGCCCAAGGCATTTGACAGTTCATAAGAAGCAGCAGTAGAACATATGGGGAGATAAGCTATAACTATTTAAAATGTTGAAAAGAACATAAAATATGTTAGATCTGCTACATGTAAGGTTGAACCATGAAGAACCTTTAGAGTTTTACTCAAGATGGAATATTTTATGAAAAACCATATAGCTTCTGACCATTTACCTTCAAAGGAACACTGTCATTAATCAAGTTACTGTGAACAACAGTGGGTTTAAAGAAATTCATATTACACTACATATGTATCAGAAGTATGAACATTCAGGTTCTAAGGTCTATTTTCAGATCTCATTCAGAAATTTTAATTCCCAGCAAAAATAAGACAAACACAACTATAGAGAATACTATGCATTTGGACATAGTTATAAAAGGACTTTTCAACTGTAGCCTTTGTAGTAATCCTTTAAATAAACCATTATGCCAGCTGAATGTAAGAGGATTAATAAGTTAAAAACTCAAAAGTTCACAAGACAAATTTGGGGTAATTTGAATTTCAGGATTATAGGGTTGAAAAAATATTTGCATATTGGTTTAATTTATAGCAGAAATTCAATCAGATTGCATCTTTGTTAATGCACTCTCTTTCATTAAATACCTGACAGTATCTTCTGGCTATCACTGGATGGTTTGGTTTTGTTTTGAGATAGGATCTCACTTGTTGCCCAGGCTGGGGTGCAGTGGCATGATCTCGGCTCACTGCAACCTCGACAGTGAATAGATTGGAAACTGCACTCTTTTTCCCAACATTTGAAAACAGAATTCTCTTTCTTCAGGACAAATTAAAACACTTTTCAATTTCTTCTGTGTGTCCTACTTGGAAACCGACATAAAGCTTTACTTCCAGCCTTAATGGAGAAGGAAGGATTTGTATTATGAAGGAAGGGAAACTCTCCTCATTTTGCCTGTGATCACAGGAAGAACTCTTTGAAAGTAACCTTTTCTCAAGTGCCACAACAAGGCATTTGCATTTTCCAGACAAGAAAGAGTTCATTTACGCAAGATTCTTCCAAGCCAATCAAATGCATTTAAGGAATCACATCCTGGCACAAGGCACTTATGGAGATTAACAACGGGGAGGGGTGGGGGAGTCACGCACTGCCCAGGGCACAGCCAGAGGCCATTCACCTTGCTCAAGGATCAAGAAACCCTAGAAAACAGCTCTGCTTGGAGGCCATGGGTCTGATGCTGAAAAAGGAAGTACAGAAATATGATTTCTTTTCCCTCGAGTGGAAAAATAACAATTTCATTAAGTATCTATGGAGCATTTCCTGAGGCTATCATGGATGTAAGCCAATATCACCAGGCCTTCTGGTTTATTCTTTATCTTAATGTAGAGGTGATACTAAATATGGGTTGAAAATATCCTTAAACCTATCTAGTATAGCCCATAGAAAAACATCCTCAAATGCAGTCCAAAGAACATCTTTTGGCTAAAATAAATATAAACTACTTGTAAGGGTATTAGATTTCATGGAATTCATCGCTGTACTCAACAGCAAGTACTGAAAAACCTGAAATCTTCAAGTCAATTATTTGAATAATCTTGCCCTCTGAAGAAACAGTAAGAACAATACATAGTTATTTTTTCTCAGAGTACACTTCATATCCCAAGTAGTTAATTAAACATGAACACTGTCTCATGAAAATGTCTTTGAGAAAGTCTTCCACAATATATGTATTTCATCCTACTCTTAGTCATAAGTATGCATTAATTTAACTCATTCAAGATTTTCTATATGAAATAATGGGTGCAAAGAAAAGATAATGCAGTTCAAATGGTTGACGTGTAGCACAGCAAAAAGAAAAACTGCATAATATGATACTAGCATTTACTGAGAGCCTACTATGTGCAGGCACTAGTCCAAGCATTAAATATACATTATTTAATCCTGAGCTCTAATAATCACATGTATTTTGAATCTCCTGGGTGTAAAAAGTATAGAAAGTCAACCCAAAGCAGTGGCTACAAATGAGAGGTGTGAGACTAAGAGTACCAGTTCTCAACTCCTCTGCTGTTTGTGCGGAGAGTTTGCAATCACTGTACATCCCAGGGCTAAAAGGAGCTGTTTAATCTGCTAATGTAACCCAGCACAGGACACACTATAGGTTACCTTCCTGCCAATGAAAATGAGGAATATGATGAGGTCAAGGGACAACACTAAAATGGAAAAACATGAAAGAAAAATCAAGGACAGTAGATGAAAAACAAAAATGATGGAAAATGTGGTTTGACAAGATAACTGGAAGAGATGTCTGCATATATAATTCCAGGTGAAAATTTTAAAACCCCAGGAGTTCTGATTCATTAAACATAAGCTGTATCAATGAAATAGGTGACAACAAAGTAGGCAATATATTGACAAAACAGGCAGCCCAAGTAAAGGCTACGCACTCCTTGACACTGAAATAAATTATAGAAACATGTCAACTTGTGAAAAGAAGAATGGAAAAGTGTCAAAGTAAAGAGCCAGTTTGCAGATTAAAAAGGCAGCTTGGTTGAGCATTACAACAAAGAAGAGGGGAAGATGGGCAAGTAGAATGGGTGGAAAATGAGGAAACGGTGTTGGGGAAGACTAGAGGGAGAGTGAAATAAGTGACAACAGTTAGTGATGACAAGAACAGCAAAGACGATTTCCCAGCTGAGAGGCAGTCCTTTAGCACAACATAGCACACAAGGGGGGATTCAGAAGGATGACAGCCATAAACCAGCTAGATGCTAGAAAATAGGACTGAAAGCAGTTTTAAAGCTTCTTCAATTAGCTAGATATAAAGAAAAACTTATGACTTGTGGAAAGTGTGAAATTCATAGGCATAGAAAAAAATACTGAAATAAGCTGTACTTTTTCCTCCAGAAAAACCTCAGATGCAAATGTGACAGCTCTGATAGGAGAGTGACTTTACAGAGAACACAGAACATTGTGGTCCAGCTAGTTGACTGTATAACTGCTCATAAAGCATCATTCAGGGCATTGAGGATGGAGGGGTAAACACATCTCTGATCCTGCCTATCAATTTTCTAAGTGGTTTTGATGTAAGTCACTTATCGTCACTGCACTTGGCTTCCATAAGAAGGTGGCAGGAATGCCCATGCTTGCCTTCGTGACTGTCTCCCAGGGGTACTATGAGATTTAGGACTGAGATTCATTCTCTCATGGGGCACTGTAGATTAAAGACACTATAAATCCACTAACAATTACTTAAAAGGAGGCTAATGAACGTGGAGAGGCTTGCAAGGGCAAAGCACTTTTAAAGTGCCAAAAATGTGGGCTGGTAGACTGTTTATATAAATATCCCAATTGTCTCCCAAGATAGTTGAGAAAACCTAAATCAACTCACCAGGTGAGATGTTACCCAAAGTCTAATATGTACCGTTCTTACCAACTAGATGGAGGCTCTATACTAACTTCTCATTAAATTAACTGGCTAATTCAGGTATGTTTTGCATTTCAAAAAAGTAGGAGTTATAAGTAATCATCATAACTACTTAGCATGTTTCATATTATTTCAAAGTATGTAACAAATAAGGATATTACAATTAGCCTACTCCACAACTCTGAGAGTTCTGGAAGGGTACAATTCCTAGATTACATATAAAAGCCTGGCACAGGGAGAATAAGTAGCTATGCCACAGCCACATTATAAAATTCTATGCTTAAATAACAGACTTGTGCTTCGATTTTACTTCCAAATTCATGTATTAGAATTAAATGTTAAATTATTTCTATCTTGGATTATCTGCTCAGAGACAGAGGCTGAAGGAAAGGCAGGGAAGGAATACTTTCTTTGGGTAATGTTATGAACAGACAGAAGCCTCGGAAGCCATCGGAGCCCAGGGAGGGCTTTTTCAGCCTGCCTGGCGTCTGGTGTCCAGATAAGATGCTAAGGCAGGTGCCCACAGGAAACAATGCCAGGGGTATGAAACCAACACCGACAGACATTTCCACCAGGGGAAGAGAGAAGCTTAGGAAAAAGTGAGATGTGATTAGATGAATATGCTTCAAAGGGTGCACTTGACCTCATAGGGAAAGTTCTACCTGGACAGTTTTACCTGCTTCTCCAGACAAGGCAGCTGTGCTTTTACTTCTGGCCAGGAACGAATGTGTGGGCGTCAGGAGTCTGTTAACAACGCTGCTCTCCCATGGGCTGAGCTGCAGGCGGCGAGCTAAACGTCACCACATAAGCAAGATGTTAGAAGCATTCTTTTCTGAGACAAGAGGGTATAATACATCATACCTATGGCTTCCATATGCTGGGCCTTCACAGGACCAGGCTCTGCAGGGAGGATGGCTGGCCAAGAGTCAGGGCAACAGGACCCCTGTGCAGAGGGAGTGGTTATTTCATAAAGTTTCTTTTCTTCAAGATGTTATGTTGGTAGCAGGCTCTAAATTAATTTTACAGACGCAAATTTTGCTAACCACCCTCTTTTACTAGTCAAATGGCAATAAAACAAAAATAACGTTTCAGCTATTGTTTTGGTGTGTATCTGTAACTCCAGAGTGGTACTGATGGGCAGTAGACTGACAGCACACTCCTTAGTCAAAAGACTTCCTAAGTACCTTGAATAATAAACCCCAATAGAGGCATTGGCAGGTTAATGGAAGACTGGAGTCTAAAAGACAGAAAGGGGCCCCAGTAAATTATGCTAAATCTCTGTGAATTGCTACTTGGGCAATGGGAGTATGTGTGTGAGAATCAGATATAATAAAATGAAAGAAGACTCATGCAAAGTTCTGTATGGGAATCCTTTTAACCTTTTCTTTTGGCAAGCCAGGTTCTTTCAGGTCTCTCTTTGGCAACAACATAAACAATTTGGCTGAGGACAAGGCTATGGCTGAAGCAAGGTAAAATTAAACAGAAAAGCTAAAATCCAATATAAATATAATCCTAGCGATTACTAGTGGGTGCCTAAGAAATCTGGAAAACAAATTTAACATAATGCGATGATGTATGGTCCCAAATTATAGTGGAGCTTAGCAAGTCCATAGTTAGGAAATGCATGCCAATTATAAATTAAGTACCTTGCTTATATGGTTAGCTTCCAGTGATGGCTTATGAAAAGACAGAAGCTATTTTCCAAAAATATCAGTAAAGCTTGCAAAATTCTACAAATAGCACTGAAGTAAAGTGATTACATTATCTCTCTCCTTTTTCTTTTTTTTTTTAAAGACAAGGGTCTTGCCATGTTGCTCAGGCTGATTTTGAACTCCTGGGCTCAAGCAATCCTTCTTCTCTAGCCTCTTAAGCAGCTGGGTTTACAGGTGCATGCCACTGTGTCTGAATTAAAAGTCTTTTAAACTGTCTACACCTGACAAGGCTGCTTCTGTGCTCCACAAACAGCAGGTGCAAGTCTCCCCTGCCTCTGGAGCAGTGTTCTATATAACTATCATTCATGTATATATATGTATTAACTGAATGGCATTTAAATTCTAGGAAATTCGTTTTAGTTAATAAAAGCCATATACTGCTAAACACTGTGTTAAAGATATCTGCTTCTATTTGGAATGAAGTATCAACTTTCAATAAGTATCTTAATTATGTGACTATTTTAAAAGAGTAGCTATTTTGATCAGGCTCTGGTGAATTTAAGAATTAATGAATCGTTTGTCAGAGTGCATCAGAAGAGTCTTCACGGTTAAATTAAATATTATCTGACATTAAGACATTAATTAAAAAGACATGTTATTAAAACTACTGCATTAGTTACAATGTAGAAAGCACCATGGGGTAAGTATTGTCATAAGCTACGTTCCGCTGTGTGAGTGTGTGTAACAACAGAACAGAATGCAATCTAAAATTATAATACATTTACAGGGTAAAGTCAATGGGGAAAAGGTGATTTGGATTCATTGAAAATCTTGAACAGAACTACTTTCAAGGAAGTTAAACCCTTTTCTTAGAGAAACTGTACGATGACTGTGGCTTACAGCTGCAGAGATGGGTTGTCATTGAAAAAGCAAGTCCGCTTTCTCCATTAAGTTCAGTTACTTTATTTCCATGAGTCTGAAGGTATCGACAAAAAAATTTATTTCAAATGATTAAAAACCCATTTTAACCCGCATGTAAAGCAAATCCAGAGAGATTTATCTTATATCTCCTGATACCGTGAACTAAACATACTGCTAGGAGAAACCCATTTCCACTTCCACCACATTCGTAACTATCCCCTCACCAAGATGGAAATAGAGCTTCGTAAAATAACTTTTTAGTAAAGGTTAATAAATGAGAGTTGGTGTATTTTTTTTTCCACCTAGAGGGGTCTGATTTTAAGATTACAAAACTGAAGGGAGAGATATTAACTCTTATGGAACAACTGTGGCATCGATCCTATTTAAGCACTTAAAATTGAGATACTGACAATTTCCATCATAGACCACTCAGATGAGGAGAGGCAAACTCAAAGGCCTCCAGGGGCCATGCATGTTAACATAAATAAATGATTGGGGCTAAACAAACTTTATGGATACCTGCCTTACCACTTCCTCCCGTAAGTGTGACATCACTATTCCATTTCAGGTAATAGGTGCCATGAAGAAATTAGACACATGTTGCCAGGTCCTGATTTTTTCATTAGAAGTAGAAAATCGAAATGTTATATGACTACATTTTAAGTGTCGGCAATTAATTCTAATTAAAACAAGAACAGACACACTGCTCAGGTAAAACAGAATAAGCCTGTGAGCAGAATTCAGCTTGAGGTCCACCTTAAGTCCTATGATGGAGATTCTCGGGAAAAAAGTTTATTGATGGATTTTAAGCAAAGAGTAGGCAATTTCATTCTTACTCCTTTCCAACTTCCTAATGTTCTTTCTTGAGAAAAAGTTGGTTAAAAAGAGGGCTTAAAGGTAACAGTATATACTTTTAAGGCAAAAATTTCCAGTGGCAACATTCTGTTGCAGCAGTTACAGACACCTTTTATAATCAGGTTTCCTTTAACCAAAGTAATTTTATCAGTCCATGTAACACTATATTCAGATGTAATAATTAAAATATTTAAAAACGGACAAGGCACAGATGCTAAGCTAATGGCTGGCTTCCATTGGCTTTGGAGGGCCTGGGGAAGCACATCTTGGAGAAGTTATATGAAAAAATTTCATTATTTCTAATAAATAGTAGAGCTGTTTGGATACATTCCAGCAGAACATAAGCCCTGATGGTATCAGAGCCTCAATTTAATCTCAGCTTTAAGGCCTATGCCTTAGGACTGAGAAAGCTCAATAATAATAATGTATATACCGCTTGACATTTATTTATAAGGTACTCTAATTTAACAATCTGGTAAGAATGCTTTCTAATGAGATAATGAAGCACAACGAACTTATATTCCTGCTTATTTCCAAAACAGCAGGAAAGAACTAATGGAATTACTTAAATTTCTTTTATTTATTTTTAATTATTTTCTTTTTGAGACAGGGTCTCACTCTGTTGCCCAGGCTGGAGTACAGTGGTGCAATCACAGCTCACCACAGTCTTGACTTCCCAAGGGTTAGGTGATCCTCCTGCCTCAGCCCCTCGAGTAACTGGGACTACAGGAGCACACCATCACGCTTGGCTAATTTTTGTAATTTCTGTAGAGATGGGGTTTTGCCAGGGTGCCCAGGCTGGTCTCAAACTCCTGGGCTCAAGTGATTCACCCACCTCAGCCTCCTAAAGTGCCAAGATTACAAGTGTGAGCCACTGCACCTGGCCTTAGATTTTTAAATTAGAGAAATTCAAATTCAGACGGAGTTTTAAAATTCTTACTATAATAAAAGGCCTAAGCCAATCACTGTTCTACTGAGGGTTTTGTCTAAGTTAAAGAGAAAAAAATTCCTTTCTAGACAATATATGGCAACCTCTTCCAGGCTGACCTGGCCTGTGTTAGACCCGGAACTGGTTGACAGTTCTTCCGGAAGGAGGCAGAGAAGCAGAACTCTCAACTCTAGTGTTCTCCTTCTTGTCCTATTATTTCTGCTTAGTTGGGCCTCTACCTTGATTCAAGGGGCAGTCTTCTGGCCCTACCTAACCACTGGGTATTGAACTTCCCTTAACCCTGATGTCCTATGTCCTAATTCTCTATTCCTTACCACTTCTAACTGTACACACACACACACACACACACACACACACGCAATGCACGGAGTCAGAGTCAATCTAAGAAAGGACACCCATGAAGGCGAGAATTGAGGATGGAGTGTGGCAGTCACATGGGTAAGGAGTCGCCCTTCTGCAACAACTAGCCTGTAGGATATTAAGACAGGCTCACAGCCTCTTAGGAATTCTACCACCACAACTAGAGTAGGTGATCTGTCCAGTAGATCTTTCTCGGTTCCGAGATTCTACTGCCTTAAGACGGTCTAATTGAATACTATTGCGCAGAGTGTAGAACACATCTTTCTAACTGATACAGACAATTCAAAATGTCATTCCACAGCGTGGGCAGGATTTGTTGTCCAGCTCCCCACTCCCACTCTACCCTAATTTCAGCTGTGGGATTGTAGAAGATAATAAAGTTTTAAAGTACTATAAAATATTAATTGTAGTTTGTCTCAGATCCAGGTTCACAAAAGTTTGAAACTAAAGTGCTAAGTGACCAACTGCAAAGAAAAGATGAATAGACAACTGCAAGAATAACTTTCACATGTTGTATTTTGCCTTATATTAAGGTAATAGGTTTGAAAATAAAGGATATTTATGAAAGAGTTTTAAATTCATAATATTTATGAAAGGCCCCTAATTTGATACAAGTCTAACATTGATGGTTTAGGCAAATTAGGTTTAAAAACCAAAAAGAAATGGTTTTGGTTAAAAGGCAAGAATGTAAAGTTGTTCAAACATTTACTCTTCTAAGAGATTAGTTATAAAATAACGCCAACACTCATAGAATATTGTACATTACAATGACACCATAACTTTTATACAATACAAAATAGATAAATATACATACACACATACAGAACATGCACACATTACATTTTTTAAAGATTATAAACACTGAAACTTTCCCAATTAGTTTCTTAATAAAGTACTAAATAAAGTACACAATTTTTTACTTTTAAAGAGTATGGGCTTCATACTGCACAACAATTCTTTGGTTTTATTTAAAATCGTCTTAGTTATGTAAAAAACAAGCAGCTTATCTTAAAAGCTTGATTTGTTCGTTCTATGATATATGTAAAACAAAACTTTTGCTTTATAAATAACATTCATGTACTGTAAATCCATGGGATGAATAAAACTCAAAATTCAAATAGGACATTAACTGGAGGACCATGAATATTAAATGTTTCAGGAGGCTGCAGTGATGATGATATTCTTGAAATGAGGTCAGATCCCTCAAGAGTTAATGAATGGACACCGAAAAACCAACAGCACACATAAGAAATGCAGTAAGAAATAATTTGGTTAAGTGAGAAATCAATTGGCAAAATAAAATCTACCAACATGAATCATTTAAAAAGTTTTTAAGAAAGTCAGAGCCTGGAATTCCCAAAGTACAGATGAAAAGTCAAAGACAGTATGATTGAAGTAAAAGAAATGTTCATAACAAAGAGAATTTGCATTTTGGTGGATAAGTGGGTGATTTCTGGAGCTGTAAACTCATTTACTAAAAAGTTGAGAGAAGCACCGCTTTCGTCACTGCTAAATGCAATCACTCAGCCAAGTTCTAAAATGAGAAATGTTCTTGTCGCAAGGAAAATGCTGCTCAGCCGTTTATTGCTTTTTTACTCTGAAGTTTTTTTCTTCCTATTTAAGAAACGTAGGGAAAGCAACTTCAGATGCTTATTTTTATCTGTAAACATCCAGAAAAAAAGCATTACGTAAATAACAGATACTTTTTTGTTTTCCTTTGGACTGTACCTCTATCTGGAGAATTAAGTAAAGTTGCAGATGAGGAGGAGAGCCGCTTGCTAATGACGGGATCAACATGTTTCGAAAGATTCATGGTGGAAACTGACCGCCTGTCTGGATCTAAAACAAATGGAGATAACGCTAATTGACAGCCAACATGCAGGATTGCAATTTCCTAGTTCACTGATGGAAAGAAAAACTAGGATGGGATGCTCTCTGCTCTATTTCTAGATCTGTCATAATAACACAGTTTTCTAAGTGGACATTATAAAGGTGACTTAAAGGCTTAGAAATAAAATTCATTTCCTTAAAGGAGAAATACTCATTTCACCAGCTTGTCAGCCATGGAAATTCAAGGATGTAAGTGAATGAAGACCAAAGGAAGGTCAGTAAAGGGTTTCCAAGACAGCGGACACACCCTATCAAGCAAAAGAGGACCATAAAAGCAAATGCCTCTGAAATCTCCAAAAGGAGGAACAAGGGAGTGGTAACATGCTAGTAGCACAGAAAGCAAACACTGGGATAAAAAGAACACCAGGTTCTGTATAACTGCTAATAACTTTGCTTACAGAGTCATTTTACCCAGGGCATTAAAGTTCATTATAGAAGAAGGGTTGTTGTTGCTGTTTTTAAAAAAAGAAAAAAACATTCCAAGTGTGAAAAGGATTTTTAAAAAACTTTTCTTTATTAAATTTCTACTAAGAACCACACCTCCTTGCCTATGAGTTAGTGTGGCCTACAAATGTAGAATTAGCAAACACACTCATGAACACAATAGTATTGTTCATCCTGTAGTCAAGTAATTTTTAAATTCCTTTTTTTTTTTTTTTTTGAGACAGGATCTTGCTCTGTTGGCCAGGCTGGAGTGTGGTGGTATGATCATAGCTCACTGCAACCTGGATTTCCTGGGCTTAAAATCCTCTCACCTCAGCCTCCCGAGTAGTTAAGACTTTAGGCAGGCATCACTATGCTCTGCTAATTAAAAAAAAAAAATTTTTTTTTTTTTTTTTTGGTAGAGATCGGCGTCTCATTATGTTGCCCAGGCTGGTCTCAAATTCCTGGCTTCAAGTGATCCTCCCACCTTGACCTCTCGATGTGTTGGGATTATAGACATGAGCTACTGTGCCTGGCATAACTTTAGAATTCTTAAATTCAAATCAGAAGGGAAATGACCATATAAAAGGCAAAAATTAGTAACCTGCTGTTGGAATAGTGAACCCAGTTTATAATCATGCTCATTAGGATAAATTGTGTTCCTCAAATAACACTGCATATAGTGAAAGTCTAAAAAATCTTATTAGTATGTTTATCCAGGAGGCAGGTGGATGTTCTGAGCTATAGCAGCCAAAGTGAAAGGAGTTTTACTGTATTTTATTTTTGTTAGCTGCGTCTAAAATGAAAATAAAAATATTTCTTGTAGTAGATGCTTCCAAAACTCAGTACTCGTTAATCTAACTAAACTTGGCAGTAAAAAAAAAAAATAGCTGTAAACTTTTCCCCATGCATTTTTGACTATGATTTATAATGCACTGGCAATAAGCAAGTCTTTGAGTAACATCAGACATTTCTATCTTCACCTGGGATTCATTTTAATGGTTGAAATAATTTTATTATTTTAAAAAAGCACAACATTTCTGTGCCTCACATTTACACCTAGCTGTTGGACTCTTAGGGTAATCCAAACATAAGTAAAAGATTTAGAGTCAAACATCTAAAGGAACATCTAGTGATGACATGCGAGGTATATGGTAGGAAGAGGAATACGAAGGTGATTTTATAGCAGTACATTTTCTGATATTGCTTTATATGTTAAGCGTTGGTTGGGGGAAAATTGTGTCCACATGTAGGCCTATCCTCAGGCAGATTCTCAACAGACTATTAAAAATATTTATTTCTGCTTTGGAGTAAATAGAACGAATGAGCTACAGTAGATCCTCCCGTCCTAAAAAGTACCATTGAGTAGAAAAGCATCTAAATCTGTCACAAATTGTTAAAATTATGAAGGCACTCCATGAATTTGTTATAGAACTTAATATATAAGACAGTTTTTATTCATTTCTTTTTCTCACTGAACAAAACAAATTCACAAAATAATACGTTTTGAACGTATCAAGTTTTACAAACCAGTGCTAGCTGATGGCCTGCAGCTGACCAAGACAGGAATTTTAATGTAGACGGTTTCTGGGATGTGTCTGTTGGTCAGCAAACTGTGATAGAGTACCCATCATACATCGGATGTTGTTGTGAAGTAAAGGGTATTCAAAATGAGTAAGACCTGGTTGCTGCTTTCAAGATCATAGCAGATCATTTTCTGGTCTTTGAAAACTTTGGCAAATCCCAGTTATTTTCAGGCAAATTTCTCTGTTCTAGTATAGGAACAATTTATTCGAATTCACAACCTGTATTAAAATGAATTTTACCCAACAACTCGCAAATGCCACAGTGGTTTCTCTTGTTCTGAGTGGCAGAAGTAAAAGTAATATAGTAAGCTTTGAGTGTGGATGCAAAAAAGTAAGCTGTAGCTTAACACCTCCTCAAAAATGTCTGATGATCTAATAGTATATAGCTGCCACATACATGTAAAACAGGAAGCCAGGTAAAACAAAAATAGGATCATAAAAACATATACCCTGCCAGCTTTCCTGTATGAAAGGTATATACAAAACTATCCCATCAACAAAATCCCATATGTAAATGATCTGTATAACAGATTTTCTATGTGTCCCACCAACTACTGCTGGGTCATGAAGAACCAAGAAAACAGTACTTCTTTCGTATTTTGTTCACTGTCATAAGAAAGTAAGTTGTGGTGATATTTTTTAGACTTTAAAATTTTTCTTATTTTTTAAATTTCTCTTTTGAGTCATGGTCTCACTCTGTCGCCTAGGTTGGAGTATAACGGCACTCTCTTAGCTCACTGTGTCCTCAAATTCCTGGATTCAAGTGATCCTCCTGCCTCAGCCTCCTAAGTGGGTGGGATTACAGGCACATGCCACCATGCCTGGCTAACTTTTTAAAATAATTTTTTGTAGAGATGGGGTTTCACTATGTTGCCCAGGCTGCTCTTGAACTCCTGGCCTCAAGGAATCCTCCTGCCTCGGCCTCCCAAAGCACTAGGATTACAGGTGTGATATACTGCACCTGGTCCTAGATTTTCTTTTTTTTTAATAAAGGAGTTATAAAAGATCTACAGAATGTTTTAACAATGAAAGAGAACAGAATAAGCAAACAAAGAGAGGTCCAGAGTTATTTAACTTAAAACTGAAAGTGACAACAGCAGTAATGATTGACAGGGAGAAAAGCTAAACTGGATGTACTTTGATCCCAGGTAGCTTTTTAGGTAAAAAAAATTTTTGAAGGTTTAATCCTGTTGAGTGAAATTCTTGTTGCATAGGAAGGAAAAAAAAAAAGGTTTAATCCTGATATTGAAAAAATAAAAATAAAAATTTAAATAGAAAACCAAAATGATCATTGAAAGAGAAAGCAAATGTTCTACATGTAATTACTTTATTTCAACACCTTTAAGTCACCTGAGTCATATTATCACACTTAAGAAACACTGTGCCAATCCCAGATCTATGTCTATGCGTTAGGGTATCAAGCATGCGTGATGACTAAGGTGGTGATGGTTCAGCTACTGATGCATCGGCCCTAGGTCTGAGGTGCTAGCTACAGGTCAGGCAATCAGCAATTGCAGGGATGTCTGTACCAGCTTTTCTAGTACCACCAAAAGTTATGAAGTGGTGGTCCAGGCCTGCTAAATCGAGAGAGGAGAATGATGATTCAACAAAACCACCTGGGGACAGAATGTAAAACAGTGATTGTTCAAAGTAAATTAAAAAAAAAAAAAAAAAGGTTATCAGATTCACACAAATGAAAAAACAAAACAAAACAAAACTGACACACTATGTAAAAATTCAAGGTGTATTGAATTTACAGTACAAAAATAAAGCCTTTCAGTAAATCCAAATTTCAATATGATTTTATGTCCTTTCAAAAAAAAAAAGGAAAATGGCTTAGCCATTTACTATTTCTAGCTTAATAAACCTATGCATTTTCTTACAGAGCTTTAGTGTTGCATATACTTTAGGGTCAGAATATAGAAGCTCATAGTATTGATTCTGGTCAGTCAATGTAACTATAATCCTTCCAGAGAAAAAGATAAAACTAGTTAACTTATTCCATAATCCTGAAACCCTAACGCAAATGGAGGACTAATGGTAGTGTTGAAACTAGCATGTTTATTTATAAACACTGCATAGATTTCTCCCTTTAAGGAATTTTGTAACATGAGAACATCAGCCTGTGTTAAGGGAGAGCCCCTTACTTATCTCTATCACCCTCTTATCCTGAAATAGTGAAAGCATCGTTTAATTGTTGCTTAATTATTTCAGCAGGATTTTTGTTTTGCAAACAAAGATTTAGAAAAAAGGAAGGAAATGCACTTTCAGGAAAATAAAAAGACTAATTTCGAAAGTGGTCACTGTTTACCTGCACTGTGGATGCTAGGGCTCCCATGGAGAGAGCCTCCCCACGACCACCGATTATGCTTCTGTTTTGGCCTCTGGCTCCTTTCCATTGTACGCCGTACAACAGCTTCATGGCGTTCCTTAAATGGAATGGAAGAGCTGAGAATTAGATTCCAGCTGGTTGTTTGAAGCTTCTTCAATTTAAGGCAGAATGGAGTAAGGAAAACTACTTCAATTCCCACCCTACTATTTTTGATCTATAGCTGAACTTCTATACCTTAAGGTAAAACTAGCATCAATCTGGGAGGGTCACTAAAGTCACTAGGTCCCAGTTGATAAAGCCCTTGGTGAATAACAGGCATTCAAATAAATGACCCTTACTACTAGGGTGTGATGCTTTCATGAACACACATAAGCATGGTCGTGCAGGTCTTAGCTTCGACTGATGCTTAACACATATGGCACCATATTTAAAACACAGTTCAGAACCTGAGAGCATGAGTAACCCTGACCCCATGACTTATTAAGTTCTATGACCTTGTGTAACTTACCCACTCTGAGTCTAAATTTCTATTTTTGTACAAGCTGACATGTAATGCATGCTAAAGGATTAAGAGTTAAATGAGATAATCTACGTGTAAATGTTTGCAAAGGGTCAAGACTACGAAACTCGATTACTTGGAGTGGTCTTAATACTCAGTACAAATGAATTGCACATCATAAGTTATAGGTTTGGACCAGAGAAAATGGGCTTTTAAAGTTTCTATGGCAATAATAATCATCGGCCCAGCCGCTACCTGACTCTCATACCCCGACTTCCCTAGAAACTGTGGCCATCTGTAAAGCTGATCACTCTGAAACCATTTTGCTTTGTGCCCTGCACCTAATTGCAAAGTTTCACAGAAAGTTTGCTGCATGTTTGAACTAGAAGAGCCTCTCATATTCTTCCCAGGGGCGGCTCACTTTGTCCTCCTCAAGTCTCTGCCTCCGCTTCTCCTCCACAGCAGCCCTCCTCCGCTCCTCCTTCTGCCTCTGCTCCTCCAACCTCTTCTTCCGCTCTTCCAAGTGCTTCTCGTAGTGCTGCCTGGCTCGCTCTTCTCTTTCTAACCACACGATTTCTCTTGCAGCTTTGGAGAGAGGGGGGGAAAAAAAGGGAAATCAAATACAGGCAGGTTGCAAACTTGAATAGTTAGGGCCGTATTATGTGGTCTACAATGAACAAATATGGGTTCTTTGGTTTTGTATTAACCAACCATGGCCTTTGCTTCCCTTAAATTTCCAAGAAAAATGCATTACTGTTAATTTTTAGCATAATTTAAGATGTTAACAACGAGGTTGAAGATGTACTGAATTTGCGTCTCTCTGGGAACGTGAGCAGCCCTCTAGTTTGTATGTAGAATAAGGCATAAACCACACTTGCTAGTCTCAATCCTGAAAAATCAATAGTGCTATCTGTCTCTCTTTTTTATTATAAAACAATGTGATATCCTCCAGTCTATGACTACACTTTTTTCCAACATGGCATTGGTTCTCTGTGAGTATTAAAAGGATTTGGGAGAAGATAATTAGTTGATAAAAGATGTCTGAAATGCCTTTCAGGTCTATCACACTGAGTCAGCTCAGGGATGGGAAAGACTGAACAAGCAGGCCTCGTGTCTGAGGAGCTCACAATCTAGTTAGGTAAGACTTCACTGTATCAAAAGCTGGATGGAAAATACAATTCAAAAGTATCATTCAACAATAGGATGCATTTTTTTCTTCCTTATATAATACAGGTTCCTTCCTCATTTTAGGAAAAGATATGCCCCCTCAAAGCTATTTCAATATGCTGCTTCCTTCAGTGGTAATAAATAAAAATATCTATGAGTTATTAATACTGTAGGAAAGTGTTCAAACAATATTTAGAGTGTAAAAACTACATGACATATAAATTAAAATGCATGATGTTTTTAAAAGAAAAAACAGGCCAGGTGCAGTGGCTCATGCCTGTAATCCCAGCACTTTGGGAGGCTGAGGTGGGCAGATCAATTGAGACCAGGAGTTTGAGACTAGTTTGGCCAACATAGTGAAACCCCGCCTCTGCTAAAAATATAAGAATTATTTTTTACAGAAAAGAATCCAAAGGGTGTGGTGTCGTGTGCCTGTAGTTCCAGCTACTCGGGAGGCTGAGGTGTGAGAATCACTTGAACCTGGAGGCAGAGGTTGCAGCAAGCCGAGATTGTGCCACTGCACTCCAGCCTTGGTAAGAGTGAGACTCCATCTCAAAAAAATAAATAAAAGAATAAACATAAATTTAGAATATTTACTTTCCTCTAAATGTTTAATATTAAAGACTTGATTTCTGATACCATTAAATCTTTCCAAAGTTAGTCATTAGAGGACTAAATCTACTTACTCAAAGTGATCGGAACTGACTTAATTTTAGTGAAATAAAAGGACAAGGGCAAATTCAAGGTGATTTTTTTCCTCCTGGCACATTTAGGGTGCTGTGTGGAATGAACTGAGACGGGTTCTCCCAGCGGTTAGGCCACTAACTGGTGCTGAGATCTCAGACACGTCCATTTGGATTTTAGCTTTCTTTGGCTTAAAATGAGGACACTGGTCCTCAAGGTTCCTACCAATTTTCAGAGCTCATTGCTCTAAAGAAATTCTCAGGCTCAAGTTAAAAATTTACTTCAATAAAAAGCATATAGTATACACAATAAGTATTTACTGAATGCCGGAAAAAGTAAAGGCCACTGTGAGAACACACCTTAAAAGTTAACAGAAGGAGAACATAATTCTAATACTTTAAGATGCACTTACTTTGCTCATGCACACTCATGCAGATAATACCTTTTGGATTTTCTACAGGAGAATACCTAACTGGAAGGCTTTTAATGATATTAAACATTTTAATTCACTTAAAAAGGTGGATAAATTTTGACAGTGATAACTTTTGTCAAAGTGTAAACACAAAATAATAAATGGTAAAACAGCTGTCTTCCTCTAAGATCCTGTTATATTCCACTTCCAACTTTTGGACAAATGTACACTATGCACCTTGTATCATAGTACATTTACTGCTCTGCATCTTGCTTTTTTTTTTTTTTTTTGAGACAGGGTCTCTGTTGCCCAGGCTAGAGTGTAGTGACACAATCATGGCTCACTGAAGCCTTGACCTCCCAGGCTCAGGTGATCCTCCCATCTCAGCTTCCTGGGTAGCTGGAACTACAGGCGTGCACCACTATGCCCAGCTAATTTTTCATATTTAGTAGAGATGGGGTTTTGCCATATTGCCCAGGTTGGTCTTGAACTCCTGAACTCAAGGGATCTAACTGCCTCAGCCTCCCAAAGTTCTGGGATTACAGGCATGATCCACCACACCCAGCCTGCATCTTGCTTTTTTAATTTAAAATATATCTTAGAGACTTTTCCATATCAAGATATGAAATATGAATCTAACAATCTTTTTAATGGCCATGTATTTTATTGTCTATATACAATACCTTATTTTCTATAACCAGTTACCTGTTGAGTGATAAAGAATTCAGACCCTGAGCAATACCAATGTGCTGTCGTAAATCTCCATGTAGATGTGTGAGCATGTCCATATAGAATAGTTGAATCAACGGGAATATAGATTTAAAATTTTCATAGATACTGTCATACTGTCCTCTGTGGAGGTCATACCAGTTTATACACCTACCAACAATGCATGATGGTCACAGGCAGAAGAATCAGATATGTACCTTGAGATATGCAATATGATACATCGATTTCTTAACTTTTAGCCTTCAAACTACATAGTCTTTGAGTTTTATTACCTCATTTTGAGGAAAATTTCAAATTCTTTGAGGACATTTATGAACATAATATATTCCTCTTTTGTAAGTGATCCAGAAGCCAACAAAAGAAAATAAGAAATAAAGATGTTTGGCCGGGCGCGGTGGCTCAGGCCTATAATCCCAGCACTTTGGGAGGCCAAGGCGGGTGGGTCACAAGGTCAAGAGATTGAGAACATCCTGGTCAACATGGTGAAACCCCGTCTCTACTAAAAATACAAAAATTAGCAGGGCATGGTGGCGGGCGCCTGTAGTCCCAGCTACTTGGGAGGCTGAGGCAGGAGAATTGCTTGAACCCAGGAGGCGGAGGTTGCGGTGAGCCGAGATCACGCCATTGCACTCCAGTCTGGGTAACAAGAGCGAAACTACGTCTCAAAAAAAAAAAAGAAAAGAAATAAAGATGTTTGTAAAATATTAAGAAAATATTTAAAAGTTGGTAAGATAAATTTGTAAAATAAGAGTTAATTCACAAATCAATTTTTCTTAAATAATGTTTTCATCAGGCTTTCTTACTTATTAACATGTGGCTCTATTTCTTCACTAAATTTAAGCTCCTCTGATTTCTACAGTCCTATTTTGGCTTTAATATCCTTCCTCTCCACTGCTCTCCAAAATAGCGTCTGCATTCTAATTAGATCTCATTTCCTTAAAGCACCTCCCATCAAACCATGCTTCTTCCAGGTCTTTGTCTCTGTTATTGCCCTGTTGGAAAAACTGCCGACAGTTTTTATCCAAACAGATTCATCCTCTAAGAAGGCATACTCATAATTGTAACACATGTCAGAATTATTGTTAGAACTGTGTGGGGGAAAGTGAGCATGTCTATTTCAAATGCAGATTCCAGGGTTCCACCTCTCATATTTGGGGGTGCTAAATATGAGAAACTTGTCAGGACAAGATGTGGGTAAAAGGGAAAGTGAGCATGTCTATTTCAAATGCAGATTCCAGGGTTCCACCTCTCATATTTGGGGGTGCTAAATATAAGAAACTTGTCAGGACAAGATGTGGGTAAAAGAGGATCTTTCTCATAAATTCACTGTAAGGATGAAAAGAATAACTACACTTAATGTGGTTAGAATACTTTTCTGCATGCAGTAAACATTCAGTAAATATTAGCTATTATTGTTGTTTGTGTCATCATCACTGTAATTTCAGTTCAGAAAATTAAAGGTAGTTCTTAAAGTTGTGTTATAAATCACAACAGGGCTAAACATTATTACAACAATAATTAGTTTTACCCCAAATAATCTTTTAAAGGAACAATATTTCTTTGCCTAGCCAACTTTTATTGAATTTCACTTCTATTTTCTACCAGAAAGTGCAGATTCGAAGGTGGTGCCTTCTTTAAGTAGTCACACAGCTAATAGGCAAATTAAACAATACTTTCCTATTGCAGAGCATGGAGTGCAGGATTATTGCTAAACATAGGTCATGCAATATTTTAAATGGAAGGATAATAGAATATACTTGAATATTTTAATAAAAATAGAAAGTTAATTTATTCTAAGAGACTTAATATGTTAATACATACCCTTCCAAAAAAAGTTTTTTATTTAAAGGGAAAAAAAGTTTTAAAAAATAAGCTAGAAGGTGTAAAATCAAGTCTATTTAAGGCTTGACTAAGACTTTTAGAATGGGTTAAAATATTCCCTATGGATGATAGAGATCATGTTGAGGTTACAGATTTTCTCATTAAGAAATTAGAATTTTGGGGTGAAAGCAAACAGAACACATTGCCATGTGTGTACCTATGCAACTGTATTGCATGCTCTGCACATGTACCCCAAAACCTAAAATGCAATTAAAAAAAAAAAAGAAAGAAATTAGAATTTTGAACACATGAAAAAACTTAGCAAATGTAGCAAATGTTATTGACTGAATTGTGCCCCCCAACCAAGTTCATATGCTGAAGCCCTAACCCCCAAGGTGAATGCATTTGAAAATAGAACCTTTAGGAGGTAATTAGATTAAATGAGGTCATAAGGGTGGCATCCCAACCTAACAGATTCAGAGGAAATACCATGCGAGGACAACGTGGTCCTTTGTAAGCCAGGAAAAGAGCCCTCACCAGAAGCTGAACTTGATCTTGGGCTTCCCAGGCTCCAGAGCTGTGAGAAAATGAATTTCTGTTGTTTAAGCTACCCAGTCTATGGTATTTTGTTATGGCATCCCTAGTATTTGCATACAATTCATTCAGTATTTAAATCATTCACAATCACTTAATGTCAAAAAGAAGCAGCTCTGTAAAAGAATAGTAGGTCCAAAAAATGAACTGTGATTAATATTAACCTTTACTCTTCTGA